AGAGGCAGGCCTGGAGAGATGAGGCCTGAGGGTGGCATGCCCGACACCATGCTACCTGGATTCAAACCCAGTTCCTGTGACTCGGGAGCACATGCTGTCTCCCCAGACAGTGCAGTTTGGTGAAGGGGGTGGGTTTCTGAAACAAGAGCAGAGATGGTTTCTGGCAGCAGTTTTGTTTCCAGGCCAGGAAGGTGGTGGTGGCGGTGGGGGAGGGGACCTGGTGGGACCCCTCCTAGCCAGATGCCTGATCTCAGAGCATTTGAGCCCTGGTTCCTGGCCTCTCCAACCCAATGGGAACCCCAGGGCATCTGGGCCCTTGTATTTACACCACTGTGTGCACCACACCAGCCATGACCCCGTCCCCTCTAGGACAGATAGGTCCCGAGCTGTGGCTCTACCCAGGTGTGTCCCTTCCCAGGGTCCTCTCTCCCTCCCACCCCCTTCCACAGATGAGCTCTCGCCACCAGCCCCACCCCTCCTCTGGCTCCCCAAGGCCTTCTCCACCTCCCAGCCTGGCCCCAGGGAGCCCCAACTGGCCCTTCTGGCTTGTGACTCAAACCCACCTGTTCTACCCACCCCACTTCCTGCACACATCAGGCATGGCCCTCCCCAACCAGTTCCTCCACCTGGAAGGTATGAGCCCTGTCCTATCCATTTGTCTTTCCTGGTCCTCCCATCATAAATACATGCTCACCTCGAAGCTCCCCGGGTGCAGCCCCTGTTCATGCTCAGGAACAAGCACTGTGTTGAATCGATTGGAAAGCAGAGTGTGCTGAGCACGGAGTGTGGTGGTGCTCAAACCCACCCCAGCCTCTTCCTAGCTGTGTGACCCGAGGCAAGCTGCCTAGCCTCTCTGAACCTCAGTGCTCCCTGTCCCCCATCCCCACCCTTGTGAGATGGGGTAATAGTAGCGCCAACCTCTTGGAGTTGGCTGAGAATTGGGTGACATTCAAGCCCAGACCACCCCCAGCACTGACTCCAGTCACAGCCTCCCCGGCTGCCTCAGATGACGCCGCCACTCAGGGATTTGGCAGCAGGTTGCCGCTTTCTGTGTGACCTCTCTCTGCCCAGAGCGAGTTTGCTGGTTTGTTTTCTTCTGTGGGCTTGTCTGAGACCTGTTTCCTGTTGCGGAAATCCAGGAGGTGGAGCTAGATGACCCTTGAGGTCCCTTCCTCAGCTGCCATCTGAGGAGGCAGGGAGGGACCTGGACACAGTGAAGGGTGAGGAGGTGGGGCATGGTGACCGCCCCATCCCAGAGCACCCAGTGTGTGCTAGGCCTCTGCTCGATGAGGTCACATACTCCTGGGAGGTACTGTAGTCTCCATTTTGCAGTGAAGGAGTAAGGCACAGAGAAGTTAGGTAATATGCCTGAGGTCACACAGCTAGCAGGTGGCAGAGCCAGCTTCCTAACCCCAATCTGCCTGCTCCCAGAGCCGAAAGGATCCCTTGGAGGATGGAGCTCCAGCTGCCTCCTACTGCATGCTTGGTGGGTTCTAGGTTTGGGGTTTCCCGAAACTAGTAGTCCCTTCGGGACCTATCTGTCACCCGCCTGGAGAGAGGTTCCTGTCTGGGCCTTCTTTTCCCTCCCACTCTTCCACAGGGGAGATCTGATCCCAGTCCAGCCTCTTCCTTAAGACCTCTCTGTACCTGACCCTGTTCCAAATAATGAGACTTCAAAAATCGATCAGAGTTGGTCCTTACCTGTGTGAGCCCACTGTCTAGCAGGGGCCTGGACAGGGGACCCCACAGCAATGGTGAAAGTGTAGGGCACTGTACGTGCAGTGTTCTACTGGGGTCAGAGGTTGCTGGCATCCACGCAGCAGCTCTGTTCAGCATGCCCTGTGATGTAAGGGTCTGTGTCCTTGACTTTGACCACAGTCGGCTGCCCATCTCCCGGGGTATCAGGGTAGGGACTTGTCCCCCATCCCTTTCCCTGGCCCTCAAACAGCACCAAGGGACTCAAGACCCCTTGACCCGGGTTCCGGCTCCAGGAGAAAGGGCCCAGCCAGCACTCCCCATTCTCCACACATACACCCCCTCCAAACAGCAAGGAATGTGTCCAAGTCCCAGGAGCATCCTAAGCAATGTGAGGTATGTGTTCCTCCCTCCCCCATAGTGTTCTCTGAAATGCTGAAGAGCTGCCTGAGGGGCCCGCCCCTCCGTGGAGACCACCAGGGGAGGGCCGTGGTAGTGCTCCGCTCTCCCCCTCTAACGTCTGTGTCTCAGGCTCTGGCTGCCGGGGAGGCCCTGGGAGCAGTCCTGCTGCATTCCCACGTGAGCAAAGACTTGGCATGCACAGGCCTCCCTCCATTACGAAAGACTCTCGGTTGTTTGCGATGGAGACCTGACTCACATACCTGAATCTGGACGCAGGCGTGTTTGACTCACGTGAAACACGTCTCCCGAGAGCTGATGGAGCACATCTCTTCCCAACTCCATGTTTAGTGGCCTCCCATTGCAGCTTGAAGTTGACTATTGAGGGAGCATTTACATCACGGAAATGGGCAAATGCTTACCTACAAATCAGGACTTCCCCATCCCCGCTCAACGAGAGGTCCTGCTTCCCAGCACAGGCCAGAACTCAAGAGTTGGCGTGGCTGCCCCACAGTCATCAGACTCCTCCCTGCCGTCTGCTCCTCTCCCGCTTCCTCAGCACACGACTTCCATCTTTAAGGTTGTCTCATGGCCTGAGAGGGATACCAGCACTCCGGCCATTCTGTCTGCACAAGCCTTCCACTCTCACAAAACACTGCTCCCATTTTTCTGCCTTACCTCGATTTCCATAACCTGCCCCTCCTCATCTTTCAGCTGCCGTCTCAGGTGTCCTCCCTGTGGAGACCACCGCCTTCCCTGGCCACCTTTCCTACAGCGGCACACGGCCACCTTGCACTGCACTATTTCTCCAAGGGCACCCCAACGTTGGTAATGATCTGTGTGGGGTTGTTTGCCGATTCTCTTTGTTTATCGATGGTCTTCCCCTCGAGGTGGAAGATCTCTGAGGGCAAGGACTGCTTCTGTATTCGTTACTGTGCCCCCATAGGCCTCCGGAATGCCGGGGACAGCCCCAAACCCCACCCACACCATTCCGGAGTAGTTGTGTAATATGTATTGAATGATTCAGTGATAGTGGGCATCAAATAAGGTTGTTTCCTGCACTCTTCCCTTGGCGGTTCATCATGACCATGTTGCTACCTCATCTGTAGACTCAGACTAGCTGGTTGTGGAGGGCCCTCCCTGCTCTGCCAAGGCGAATGAGTGGGGCACATAGGGTAGAGAGTGTAAGTAGCTGAGTCAGCCACCCTGGGACCACTCACAGCCCAGGCTGACTGGGGAACCCAGGCCCGAGACAGAGCTAAACGTTTCCATGGAAACCTGTTAGAACAGCACATCTCCTTGGACCCCACTCCAGTGCCAGGCTGTCGCTGAGTGTAGAGGAGTTGTAGTGTGTGTGTGTGTGTGTGTGTGTGTGTAACAATTAAGGACTGTTCCACCCTGGGGGGCTTGTGGGCTAGTACAAAGATGGAGGAAGGTCAAATGGAAGAACAACTAAGCATGATACAATGGGCTAAACACCTGACGTGTAGAGATGGCTGGGCCCAGTGTTAGGGGAGCGCTCACCTCCATCCCCCATTCATTCCTTCGTGCATTCATTCATTCATTCAACAAATCATCATTAAAGACCAGCCCTGTGTTAGGCAGTGTTCTAGGCACAGGGGATAGGACAAGGTAGGCAAGAGTCCTGCCTTTGTAAAACTCACATTCTTGTCAGGGAGACCAAGAAGTGAAACAAGTGAGCCCCGGTCTGGCGGACAGTGGAAGGTGCCATGCCGACTGTGACGCAAGACCTGGTTGAGGACGTAGTATCCGGATGGAACCGCTGATGACAGACGAGAATTACCAGAACATCTTGAGAGGCCCAGGCAGAGGGAACAGCACATGCAGAGTCCGGAGGGTGAACCCAGCTCCGAGTCAGTGGAAGGATGAAGCTCAAAGGCAGGAAGGGATCGGAAAGAAGGGGATGGAAATGGGAACCGCCGGGAGGAAGTGGGCAGGGTGCCCATGCGTTTGGGGGACAGCAGTCAAAGGCACCAAACAAAAGGTCCAATCCCACACCTGAATGGTGGAAAACCAGGCCGCTCTGTAAACTTTCACCCAAATTACAAAAAGGATGTTGGAGAAACAGGAAGAAGGCCTCTCCAGCTAGCTCAGAGTTGGGGGATCGGGGAGGAGAATGATGATAGAGGCAGGGTGGAACTAGTGAGGTGAGGTAGGCGCTTGCTTTCAGGTACAGGATTTAAGTGGGCACCAAAAAACCACAGGCATTGAGATAAACAACATTTAATGCCAGACTTTAAAAAATCATTGCAAAAAAAAAAAATCCAAGAAGAACAAAACCTCACATTTCTGTAATAAGGACAGTGCCATGCTGAGCCATCCTAGGACCCAAGGCGACAGGGGAAGCCTGGTCCTACTGATTTGTCTCAATGGAAAGTTCGTGATTCTAGGAGTCGTGGGTCTCTGTTGTTTTCCACATGGGTGTCGTCCTCGTAGGAAGCTTGTCTCCCAGCCTTAAGATCATGGTCCACAGAACCAGACCCTTCCAGTCTGAACTGTATGCTTTCGGCAGTTTTCCTGGCCTCTCTGTTCCCGTTTTCCATCAGCAAACAGGCTAATAATAGTGCCCGAGGTTATGGAGTGCATCGATTGAGCTGATGCCAGCCAGGCCGAGATGAGCCTAGCAGAGGACGGGGGCTCAGCTGTGGTGCCACCAGAGGAGTCTAAGCAGGGAAGCTCACAGCTAGACCAGGGTGGGCTGCATATAGCGGTGGACCTGGGACGGGAAGGCCACACTTCCTAGTCTGGCCCAGAGGAGGCAGTTGCAACAGTGGAAGATGGAAAGGAGTGTAGGATTCTGGACATGTCTAGGCAGTCGAAGCTCCAGCCGGTGGCCGGAGCCGGCTGCAGCTGACACCCTCATCCCGGACTTGTGTGTTTTCCAGAGGGAGCTGAAGGAGCAGCTTCAGGCCCTTCAGGACAGCGAGCGTGAGCACACGGAGGCACTGCAGCTGCTCAAACGCCAGGTGGCTGAGACCAAGGTGAGTCTGGCCCGGGTGGAGTGAGGGGGTGGGGGAGCAAGGCTCATGGAGGGGTGGGGGTGGGGCCTTGGGCCTTTGGCAGGACAAGAAGGAAAGGTAGGGGAGGCAGAGGAGGCAAAGTTTCCATGAAGGCAAGTGGAACTGGGCCTTGTGTGTACCTTGTCTCTCTAAACACATCCATTGCTGGAGGAGCCACCCTGGGTGTGTCCCTCATCTCTCACACCCTCCTGGTGGCCTGTGGCCTTGTCCTGGTACCAGGCTTTTGGGATATGGACTCTGGAAAATAGGACCCAACCCTGCAGCCTCCGACAGAAACCTAAAACCAAACCCACTGCCTTCAAGTCGATCCCAATACCCAGCCACCTTACAGAACTGAGTAGAGCTTCCCCCCACGATTTCTAAGGCCGCTAGTCTCTACAGAAGCAGGATGCCACATCTTTTTACCCTGAAGTGGCTGGTAGGTTAGAACCTTTGACTTTCAGACCTCTTTTCCGTTAGCAGCCCTTTGTTGAATAACAGCCACACTCGGGTTCCTTAGGCTCCACTACCAAACCAGACCAGACACGGCCAGCGAGTCAGTTCTGACTCCTAGGGACCCTAGAACTAGTCCAACTGTGGGTTTCTCAGGCTGCAGTCGTTAACAGGAGCAGCACACCTTGTCTTTCTCCCTCAGAGCAGTGCATGCTTTCAAACTACTGACCCTGTCGGTTAGCAGCCCAAGGCTAGTGTAGCCCACGATGCCACCGGGCCTCCTCGGTCTCTGCTACAGTGATTTCAAAATAAAGCCTTTTCCCATGATCCGAGAGGAAGGACATCCATCCGGACCCAGCCACGAGCTCATGGGATTCTGCAAATGGCCCACTGTCTGGCCCTTAGGTCTCCCTTTCTGCATCCTGGTGGTCTCTCTGGGCTCTCTTCCAGGCCTGGAGTTTGGGATCTTAGCTCACTTCCAAAGCCGCCTTCTGAAATCCCAGGCAAACAGCTCCCTAACTGGGCAGGACTGGCTTTGGTTTCTGCCCCATCTGGTTGGGGCCAAAACTGAGGATAGGGCCCAGCTGTGGTTTCAGTCTGCCTCCAGGGGGTCAGCAGAGGTACCACGGGCCGGCCGGCATTAGCCAGAACAAAGCCATAGGAACGGTCTGGGCCTCCAGAGGTCACTCTGGAGCCTGGAGAGGCCATCGGTGACCCAGATCTTGGCCCCAACTTGGCCACCAACCTACTGTGAGGTCTCAGGAAGGTCAGGGCAAATATTCCTTCAGAGGACATCATGAGCGCCTCTGGAGACCACCCCTCCCTTACTGGGCAACAGACGAGACACGACCCTGGGACTCTGGTCCATGCCTTCCCCGAGCCTCGGTTCCCCATCTCTCTGGAGACTGACTCCCCCTCTCAAATGAAGAGGAGCACGTGGAAGCCCTGCCTGGGTCGGAGGGGGACTATTATGGTCTGCTTCTTCTCAGCATTCTCTCCTCCCCCTACCCCCAGCCCTGATTGTTTTTCTGCACTGACCTCTTCCACCCCCACTTTCCTGTCCATCTGTCTGCCTCCCGGGGGTCCTGTGGGGCCCCGCCCCCTCCAGTTCCCCCAGCCCCGCTTCCTGTCTGGACTGGGGTGTTTATACAAGAAATGCCTCTGGATGCTTTGGGGGTCATATTTCACCTGGTGCCTGCCCCACGATCCCTCCAGTGGCCGTCTGAGTTCCCTCCTCGGCCCCATGTTTTCCTTGGTCGGGCCCTGGCGGGTGACGCATTCCTGCCAGGGTGTTTTTCTAAAGTGGCCCCAGTTCCTCCTGTTTCCTGGGCTGTAGCGAGTGGGGCTAGAGGCGCCTCTTCCAGACGTGGGGGGTGGGGGGGTGGACTAGTGTAAATGACGCGGCACCAGTCTTCGTGGGTGAACTTGTCTCTCTGCTTCTTGTGTATCGTCTCACACAGAAGCCCACAGAATGCCACCGCCATGGCGGCCGGACTCCCCGAGCCTACAATAGGTAGTTGTTGAATCAGCGAGCAGTGGGGAGGGACTCACCTTTGGGGGTAGGGCGTGTTATTCCTACCGCCTTGGTGGCACCGGGACCGGCCTGTGCGGGTAGGTCTCCATTTCCTAGGGCCATCGAGTCAATTCTGACTCACAGCGATCCCACGGACAGAGTAGGCCTGCCCCCTGTGGGTTTCGGAGCCTCTAAGTCTTCACGGGAATAGAAAGCCTTGGGTTGCTCCAGTGGAGCGGCTGGTGGTTTTGAACTGCCGACCTTGGGGCTAGCAGCCCCACACATAGCCAGGAGGCTGCCAGGAGGGTTCCTTCAGGTATGACCGAAGCTGTTTGCATGTACTCGGTGCAGGGCTGTCTCCCAGGGACGCCCTCAGCTAGACCAGCAGATTGGTGGAAGTAAGCCTGGAAGACGGCTGCCCCAGGGATGGCTGTCACCCTGAGGCTGCACCTCTGAGCTTTCCTCTCCCTGCGCCCCCCACCCCCTTTTCCTCCTCCGCCCTCCCTTTTAAGCCTGCACCCAGCTCTGCGGAGCAGTCTTGAGCAAGACCCCTCTTCCCTCCCCCACCCCCTCAAGCATTCCTGACTTCCAGCTTTGTGCCAGGCTCAAAGGGGCTAGGAAAGACATCCTTCCCGCTCTGGGGCACTTATCCAACGTGGGGCAGCGTATTAAGGGCATTTGCAGACTGTTGAGGAGCAGCCGTCTTGGCAAGGGGAATGTGATGGTCTGGATCTGCTCCCAGCGTTCATCTCTTCCTCCACTCCGTGGCTTCCCTCACCCCCCCAACCCCCGCCTGTCACTGAGCCCCTCCTGGGGGGGGGGCTGGAATGGTGTCTTCCTCAGCTCGGCAGCTCATGGGGCCCTGTGCACCCCCGAGTTCGTGTCGAGGAGGCAGCTGGACAGATGGGGCCTGCAGGGCTAGTGAGGTAGGCCCTGGCTGGTGACCACCACAAAGCCACGGGGGTGGGTGGGGGGTGAGGGTCAGGGCAGGCCTGTGAGGGAGAATGAGCAACGAGGCCAGACTAGTTGGCCAAATGCTGCTGGAGAGCCTTCGAAGGAGGGACCAGGGCGGATGGCATGGGGTTTTTTTGGGGGGTCTCTGGCTGGCAGCTTCTGATGGCATGAGCGGGCCCCATTTCCCCATTTGAAGTATGCCACCCCAGAAGCCAAAGCCCCAGGTAGGGGGCTCAGGGAGGCCACAAGCAGGCCGCCTAGCCCAGCATCCCAGCTTCTCCTCCGCCCCCTCTTTGTCTGCCCGGCTCTCTGGGTGGGCATGCGCGGGCAGGCTGGCCTGCTGCCAGCACTTCTTCCTGTAGGCTGCCCAAGCTGGAGGGGGAGGGAACAGGCCCTAATTGAGCCTTTGCGGAGCCTCCCACAGAGCTCTGGGCAAGGAACACAGCGGAGGTTCTGACTCCGTGAACTCCCAACCGGAATCCCACAAAGTGAAATTGCAGAGGCCGGGCTGACCCCCTGCTACCCGACGCCCCACTCCCTTCTCCCAGTCCCAGCTGACATCCTGGGCACGTGTGTCCTGCAGCCCAAGCTCCGCAGCTCAGGGAAGACTTCTGGGACACGCCCCTTAGAAGGGATGGCTTTTTAGTAACCGAACTCTAGCTCCCCAGCGCTTCAGTCTGGCCCCTAACCCTGCAAGGCAGCTTTTGCGACCCATGTTACAGAGCAGGTTACGGAGGCCCAGTATGATACCGTCGGTATCTGAAGTTTGCCACAGCTAGAGACGCAGCACCAGGATTCTTCCCCGGGCACTTGCCGCTCTACCCTTCTGACCTCTCCTGGGCCTGGCAGTGTCACAGGGGCTGAGAGACCCAGGAAAGTCCTGCTAACCAGCCCTGAACAGGACCTCAGCGGGTGGGGGGGCTGGGTGCCCAACCCTGCCGTTCACAGAGCTCTGTGTCCATCGCCCTGTCCTTTTCCCCTGGAGCCCCATGAGTGAAGTTTTTTTTAAACAAAGACCTCATCATACCCCCTCGCCCCAGCATCCCTCCCACCCTCAGGCAGAAATCTGAGCCTCACTCTGGACACCCCTCCCTCCCCATACCCCCACAGCCAGTCAGTCCCTGGGCCCCGAGAGTCTCCCCACAAAGTATCTGTCAGACTCTGCCCTGTTCCCTCCACCTCTGCCCATCTGTTCCAGTTTATGGTCTCACCTGGCCCATCTCCTCGTGGCCACACCCACTCTTGCTCACTGGCCACACCTGGTCCTTTCTTAGCGCCATGGTTCCCGTGCACCAGCCCCCGCCCCAGGACCCTCCCCGCCTCCTGTGTCCTCTCTCCCAGGACTGCCCACACTCACGCTCCCGCCCTAACCCTGATGCCCTCCCCCTGCAGTCTTCCACCAAGAGCCTGCGGACCACCATCGGCGAGGCCTTCGAGAGGCTGCACCGGCTGCTGCGCGAGCGGCAGAAGGCCATGCTGGAGGAGCTGGAGGCGGACACGGCGCGCACGCTGACCGACATCGAGCAGAAAGTGCAGCGCTACAGCCAGCAGCTGCGCAAGGTGCAGGAGGGGGCGCAGATCCTGCAGGAGCGGCTGGCTGAAACCGACCGGCACACCTTCCTAGCCGGGGTGGCCTCACTGTCTGAGAGGTAGGTGCCCACCTGGCGGGCCCTTCCTCAGCGGGTGTCCCCTCCTCGAGGCAGGCAGAGGGGTGGGCAGTGGAGGCAGGTGGGAGAGGTGAGCGGAGACGTCATCCATTCAGGTCTGTGTCAGACAGGCCTGGGTACCTGCTCGTCTGGAGGCAGGACTAATGGAGGTTCCAATGCACCTGCCCTCCCGCTCTCCTGCCAGGCTCAAGGGGAAGAGCCACGAGACCAACCTGACCTACGAAGACTTCCCAACCTCCAAGTACACGGGCCCCCTGCAGTACACCATCTGGAAGTCCCTGTTCCAAGACATCCATCCAGGTGAGGCCCCGCCTGCCACTCCCTGAGAGGGACCCGGGAGAGGCCAGGATTGCCAGGGGCTGGAGCCAGATGGGGTAGGTCCCAGCCTGTCCCAAAGACATCAGCGGGGTAAGGCAGAAGGCAGACCAGCGCCCCTTACCTACCGTGTTCCGGGACCTGCCCTGACCCTCAGCTCGGAGAACCTTCATAGAACCTCCTGAGGGCAGACGCATCCGTCTGCCTGTTCACCAGGTGAAGAGACCGAGGGCCTAGGTGGTCCCGTCAATCACCCTACCCACAATGCTCTGCCAGGGAGTTGCTGCCAACTGACTCTTTGCAAGCAGAGAGGACAGAGCAGACCTGCCCCTGTGGGTTTCCAAGCCTGTAGCTTTACAGGGGTAGGAGGCTGCGTCTTTCTTCCCCCAAGAGTCCAGTGGTTTCGATCTGTTGACCAATGTGTACCCCACTACGCCACCGGGCTCCTCATTCACATGCCTGGGGCCGGGCACTGTTCTAAGTGCTAGAGAGGGTGCCCTGAGCAAAGCAGGCGACAGTCTCTCCCTCTCTGAGCGTAGAGAAAAGGAAGTCCCTTACTAGATACTGGTGATGGCTGTGGGAGCGGAAGGCCCGCCGAAGGAAGGGAAAAAAAGGTCGAGGACCAAGATGGAAGGAAGAAGGAGAGGAGGGCCGATGGAGAATCTGAGCGGACAGTGTGCAGTGGGAATGCCAAATGCAAAGGCCCTGAGGCAGGAGTGTGCCTGACACATTGAAGCCCCAGGACGGACAGGGGACGGGTGTAGCCGGAGTGCGGTGAGGGAAGGAGGTCAGAGAGGTGGCCCTGGCACCCTTAACAATGATCATTTGGGGTGGGCGGGCTTGAGAGCTATGCCCAGTGAGATGGGAGCCAGAGGAGAGCTGGGGGGTGTGCAGTGACCTGAGCTGAGGTTTTAAGGGCTCTCCCAGTGGTCACTGAGGGTGAGAACAGACCGAAGGAGGACAAGGGTTGTGGGGGCTTGGGGGGTGAGAAACGGCTTTGTGACCTGGGTGAGAGATGACCAGCGTCGTGGCAATGGAGGTGGCGAGCGGTGGTTGGTTTTCTGTACAAAGGGGCTTCTAATGGAATCGCCCTTGATCTTTTCCATCCAGCTTCCCACCGCCTTGCGAAGCCCCCTCATGCGTTTTGAAGGTAGCGTTAGGAGGATTTGCCAGAGGGTGGGCTTCTGGGCATGAGAGAGAGGGGGGCTGAAGCGACTGAAGGACGGAGTTCTTGTGAATTGAAGTGGGGACGGCTGGGAGGAGCAGGCTTGTGGGGAGGGGTCAAGGGTTCAGTTTTAAACCCATGAGGTTTGCAGGGGCGATCAGATGTCTAAGTGCTGGCAGTTCGAATTACCAGTCTGGCGTGGAAGAGAGAGGTCAAGGCAGGTATCAGAGGCAAACGGGTGGTATTGGATGAACCTGGATGAGCTCATCTAGGGCAGAGTGAGCGTGGGGGAGAGAAGGGGGTGCCCTAATATTTAGTGCCTAGGGCATTCCTAGAAGCCAGGGATGGGATGCAGGCCCAGCTAAGGAGGCTGGGGAGGTGCTTCCAGAGACACCAGCGGGAAACCTGGAATCCAGTGAGACAGAGTGTTTCCAGAAGGGTTCGTGACGTCAAAGATCTGCTAGGCCAACCGCAGGAGGACCGAGAACCCACCATTCCCCAGGTTCAGCAACCTGGAGGTCACTGGTGACCTTGACAAGGGCTGCTCGGTGGAATGATGGGGGGTGAAAAGCCTGATTGGACCCCCGCCCAGAGAGAGTGGGAGGAGAGCAAGTGCAGACACCCAGGGGAGACGCTGCTTTCAAGGAGGTTTGCTTGCGGACAGAAGAGCTGGCAGCAGCCAGGTTTTGCGATGAGGGACACCACAGCCTCTTTGTGGGCGGTGGGGGGAACTCAGTGGGAGAGAGAGCAGAACTGAGGACCAAGGAGGGAGGGAGGGACTGCTGCCCGGGGTGGGCAGGGACCACTTTATACAGAGGCAGCGTCACCAGATAGATGGGGCAGTGCGGGGGGCCTGGGAGGGCTCCCCTGTGATTGCTTCCCCTTTCCCAGGGAGTAGAAGTTAAAAATGTAAAAAACAAAACAAAACGGGACTTCGGAAAGTGGTGCCAATTGCCTCCTGGGGGCATGTGTGCCTGGCTCAGATGCACTGCGCCAGAGAAAGCTGTCTTCAGGAGAGACGCTGCCTCCTGCCCCTGGGGAGCTCAGAGAGCAGCAGGCCACCCGCCTTTCTCTTGTCTGTGGGGCCTCTGAAGTCACTCTGGCTCCTGCCAGTACCAAGGCCCTTTCTGTTGGAAGGGGAGTGGAAGGGGCCCCATGGATTCTAGCAGTCTCCTGCCCAACCCCTCCCACCAACCCCGGCTTCCTATTGGGGCCCCTGAGAACAGCACCCCATAGTCACTCACCTGTTGGAAAGCCTCCACTCCATACCCCTCCTCCATGCCACCCTGCCCTTCTGCCTGGCACTGGGCACTACTTCTCTCCTACCCAGCCTGATCACCCCAGCTCTCGGGCTGACTTCTTGCCCAGCCATGCCAGGCTACCCATTGCCCAAGGACACCAGACACTGCCCACTCCTTCTCCTGGGCTGCCCTCTGCCCTCCCCTGCTTACTTGAATCCATTTGAGTCGTTGCATGCATATTCCCCAAGAGCCCTGTTGATGCTCGCTGTTGGGTAAGTGTTAGACTACTAACCACCAGGTCAGCAGTTCACACCCACCAGCCGCTCCAAGGGAGAAAGGTGAGGCTCTCTGCCTCCATCACGGTTTACAGCCTCAGAAACGCCATGTAGGGCTGCCATTTGTTGGAATAGACTCTGAACCTCCGTTTCCTCGTCTGCAAACCAGGTCTAGTTGGGTTTCTCTCCCACGTGGTAGACGCGAGGATGAACAACG